AAAAAAAAAAAAACATTTATGGCACATATACCAGGACAATATGAGAAGTTTGTAAGTTTATCTTTCCAGTACTAAGACAACATATATAAAATAAAAATCATTGCTTATGGAACTCACCTTGTGGGTACTGGCAGGGAGAGTGATCTTGTGGGTCTCAGACCATGTAGTCTTTACATCAAGAGGTGGATCTTTATAAAATCCATACAGCATTGCACCTTTTGATGCATCTACAGCTACCACCTGATACAAGTATGATTAACTAGGAGAACGATATTTAGAAAATTGGTAAAGGCACAAATTACCTGCAAAGCAAAAGGGTACATTAGCATGTTAAACAGACTACCTTAATATATTCCACGAATAAGTGGTTGGGTTTCATCAATATTGAAGAATTAGGTCCAAGCCTCAAAGTCTCAGATGCATACAGCCCGAATGCCATAGTCATAACAACTGAATCAGGAAAAGAAAAAAACCAAAACCAAATCAACACAAATCCGTAGTTCTGCACTAAAAAATATAAAAAGCTACACCGCACAGCAAATGAAAAGGATCGATAAACAATTGCTGACTTGAAGTTTCTCGCATTTAGCTAACTAAAAGTCCAAAAATACAAAGAAAATCCAACGGCAAAATGGCAACATCTCTATAAAATAAATTACAGAATTATCACATGCTACTGCATTTCTTTCTTTAAACTAGGAAGTAATGCACTAATATTAGGTTATTAGTAGTCGCACCATTATTGTTATATGGATATCGATGACTTTACTTTGCAATAGACTCATATCTAAATACAAATTCTCCTGTTATGTATAAAAAATTCCCTCACTATATCATCAATTAACAAGTATAGCACAACATATCACAAAAATCATCCCCAAAATTACTAATATATAAAACTTTACGATGCTTCTAGGGTAAACAAATAATAAATAAGCACATGGAACGCATAGTATGCCGACAACATGAATTGATTAAAAAAATAATAATAATGTCAATACAATGAAAATGCAGCTCGACAAGTCCCCCAAAAAGATTTCAGTTCACTGTCAATCATAGAATTATCTTTTGAAAAATGAATCGACAAGAAATCTATAGACAGCCCATATCCTGATATTTATTCTTGCAAAGATTGAATCCTTAATGAAAAGAAATCTCATAATAATCCAACTACTTTAATCTTCCATGTAGCTGGACCAATATGATGCGAACCGGATTTTCAAGTGGAAATTGGATCACATGGATGATGGCGGGAGAAGTTAATTTTAGTTATGTATGTTAAGTATTTAGATAGGATTAGTATGTTAGTTTGAATGGTTAGTTATATGTTAGTTACAATTTGAATATTCGGATGCCTAGATTTAGGCTATAAAAATGCATGTACTCATGATTGTAAAAGAAATGAAGTTTAAAGTAATAAAAATTAAGAAAGAAGCTCGTCTCCGAGTCATTTCTTCGTGAAAAAACCAAGGCCGATAATGCGGGTTTTTCACTTATTAATGTGTAAATCAAGGCCGTCAGTGCGGGTTTACACATTTTATCGTGTTCGAACTAAGGCCGTTAGTGCGGGTTCTTACACAAAATCGAGTCCAGATACACGATCTTCATCACAATACTTAAGCACCCTTCTCTATAAGTATCAACATCCAGTGGGTACATAACAAAATATGAGCAGAAAAATAACTATTAACCCAATTAACTGAGCAAAATGAATAGCAACCAGCTTAGCCCTCAAAAAATGGTGTTGAACAACAATAACATTCGAATTAATCAGCTCAAATTAATCGAAATTACAACTAATTCTTAATCCAGAAGCACGACCCCGTCCGAAAAGCCTCATACATAAAAGATTACTGAAGAAATCGCGAATACACTGCACCTAAATCTCAATAACCTTACCAAAAAACGAGAACGTGGTCGAGGCAACAAAGCAAGACTTAGGATCGTCCCTCGTGGCCGACGACCCACCGCCGTTCATCAAGGCGCCCTCGTTGTTCATCCCAGAGAAACGCTCCTCGCGAGAATAATTGTTCCGGAACTCCGGGAACCTCTCCGGGAACGGCAGCGGCGGCGACTCCTCATAGCTCTCCCACGTCGCCGAGGCGGAGGCCCCGCCGGAATATTCACCACCGGTCGACGACTGATCCGCTCGTTCCATTTGCAGCAAATTGGGGATAATGGAACACGATTTCAAACACGGTGTTAAGGATTTGTGCCTGGAAGATTAGGGGTAGAAGAAGCCATGGGGATTTGAGAAATTGAGACGAAATAATATTTATTTATTTATTGTTGCTTTTTTTAGGAAGAAGTCGTTGGCCGTGAGACTGGTGGTTACATGCGGCGGTTGGGTTTGACGTGGACCGGGTTCGGTATTGTGCTTGGTTTGGGTGGTGGTCCAAACTATAATACATCAAATTAGGCTCGTTTGTTAGTTAATTACAATCGATAAACAAAAAATAGTTGCTCTTAAGCTCATTAAGACTCGCACTCAGTCTGATAATCTTGATTGATAAATAAGTCGAGCTCAGCCCTGGTTATTTGCTCGTTTAGTTAACGAGCCTAGCCGAGTCGAGCCGAAATTTGTTCGTTAAAGGTTTGAACTCGACTCGACTTGTTTAAACTCATAATTAATTCATAGGGATAAACGAGTTGAACTCGAGCTTAGTTATTTGCTCGTTATTTAACGAGCCGAGTCGAGATCTTCGTTAAAAATTTGAGCTCGGCTCGACATGTTTATAGTTTGTACTCATAATCGATTTATGGAGATAAACGTGTCAAGCTTGAACCATGTATTTTCTTGGTTAGTTAATGAACCGAGTCGAATCGAGCCGATATATGCTCTTAAAATATTTGAGGTCGGCTCTATTTGTTTACACTCAATCAATTTATGAATGCCTCTAAGTAAATTATCAAGGATTTATATCATCGTGCACATGTCAAGTACATAAAAGTTTTAAATAAAATATACAAAGGTGTAATCATGAATGTAGATCATTATATGGTTCCATTATACATACAATTAGGGTTGTAAATGAATCGAATCAAAGCGCATACTCAGAGATTCGATTCGTTTAAAATATTCGAAGATTCGATTCGTGATTCGATTCGATAACGAATTCATTTTTTGATTCGTATTCGATTCGTCTAGAATATTCGAACATATTCGATTCCATTTGAAATTCGTTTTCAAAAAAAATATTATAATTAAAAAATATTATAATTACAAAAATAAATTTTATTTTTCATAAATTTTAGAAATTTTTGTTAATTTATGATGTTTTTATTTTTATGTCATAAAAATATTAGGAATATAACAATATATATATATATATATTTATATATACACACATATATTTAAACAAAATGTATATTATATATAATTTGTATAAATATATTATAATTAAAAAATATTATAATTACAAAAATAAATTTTATATTTCATATATTTTTAGAAAAATTTGTTAATTTATGATGTTTTTAATTTTTATGTCATAAAAATATTAGGAATATAACAATATATATATATATATATATATATATA